TCATCCGTGTTGGCCCCGTCTGGAAGAAGCCTCTTTCACCTGTGTCTCGAACCTCTACAGCTTCGGAATACCTTGTCATATTCGAGCTCTCACTTTGAGGTGGCTGTCATCGTGCCTGCCGATGCTCCCCGAAAACGTGGAAATCGCGCGACCCGTAGTATTGGAGCTCATGTCCTTGAAAGCAACCTCCCTCGCGACCTTCCGAACGACCGTCATACAAGCCGCAAGTGGTCTCCGGGATCTCGAGTAGCTATGCCTCGTGGTTTACTTCTACGATGAGAGCATTGACGAAGACATCCCGCGCTTGCTGGTACGTGTCCTTGCTTCACTGGACGCAGATGGAGAATTCTCAACCGATGTCACTAGCTGCAAGGCGTCAACGCGATCGGACTGCTTCCCAAACTCCGCACGCTCACACTTGAAATCCAATGCAATCTATCGTATACGTGGGGACGTCGGAAGCACAGAAAGGAGAATCATACGCTGCGCGTCGAGAATAGCAGCACCCCTTCCGCCTCTGAACTCTCGTTCATCACGTTCGATCTCCAGCAGTTCTGCAGGGCGCTGTTTTCGTTGGCTCCCATTCTGAAGACCGTTGGACTTCGAATCGATGGAATGCCAAAGGGCATGCCTCCGATCGATGCGCAGATCCAGCGGACTGAAGTAATTGATGCGTGAATGTGGAGGGTCGCCGGTACGCAATTCACCTCATATACGGGGGTGTGTATCTGACATAGAACGAGCAGAGTAAATAGCCGCTTCGCAAACCCGTTCTGTCCTCACCCGCGCTTCACAGAATAGTAGTGTGTTCATGTATTCAACATCTACGATATCTTTCACGGCGGGCGCCGAATGTTTGTGTGTCAACGTTAGCCGGGCTGCTGCTATTCCCGCGAAAATGAGCAGTGGAAGCCGTGTAGAAGACGCGGGCGCAAGTCCAGCGGTGTGAGAGGAGCCCTCCGGCGGTGCTCAATACAACGCTGTAACAGACAGGCGAGTTGTACTGTAACCGCAGTGCTCTTAGTAGCATCAGCGCCTACAGTAGGTGCGTGGTAGGGTGATTAACATCGTACTAAGAGACCGTTGCCGGTAGGGGTAAGTATTATGCCTGCCAGCGCAGTGTTACATCAGAACGCTCTCGGAGCAGGAAGGGGGTTCCTTACATACACAGACATTGTGGAATCAATTCGGTCTGGCTCTTGTTGTAATGATCGATTCCACTACCGGTGGAACGCGATCAATCAGCAACGAATTCTGTTCAGATAGCAGCTAAAGAGAAAGAGTCCGCGTCCAAATGTAGCTACATGATTCGACCTTGTCGCGCAAGACAATGGGGGGAAAGTGTGTGATGTGCGGTGACGAAACAACTGCGACCAAGGGTGTTCTCTGAGCAGGGGCTGAATGGAAGCGGACTGAGCGGCGAGGGCGTTGTTGTAGTTCGATTCCTAAGTGAGTAAGGTCCATTGAATTATCTGCTCAGTGCTCAGTTGAAGCAAGAGAGCATCGGGAGCATCATGTCGTCCTGCGACATCCACACCGCACTACCTCGCGAAATGCCCCTGGCGGAGTTGTCAGATACGATAACGGCAGCGTAGGGTGATGAGACCACCCGAGGCCTTCATCGGCATACAAAACGTCAGTGTATATGACCATCTGGGAAGATTTCGGCCAAACGAGGTACGAGGATACTGGGCAGGAACGTACACATGCGATCTAAGAGCGCGATGACCCGAGCGACGCGCACCTCGCATTCTTCAAACAGCGCGTCCAGCGCACTCCTCAACCCCTCCCTGTTTCCGAAGCTACCCTTCACTGTGTCAATGACGCACGCCCTCGCCCAGGATCGTCCTGCCGCACACAAAACCTCCAGCAGTGAGGACGGGGACAACGTTACGGAACGCGCTTTCTTGCGAGGGCCGGGGAGGCAATGGAAGACGTAGAAAAGCGTGGAGTCATACCGAGCTCTGCGGCAGCGGGGTGAAGATGTTCTGCTCGAGGGCGTCGACCTCGCCCTCGCCCTCGCATCCCGCCTTCGTCAGCCTGTGTTTCGTGTACACGAGCGTGTTTGGGTTGAGGTCGAGAGTGAGGAGCTTCGTCTTCGCTAGAGCCATGCAGACCGAGAAGGCAGGAAAGTTAGGTATAGATTGGAAGACAAAACCATCGGCGCCGCTTGCTAGTCATCGAGCCAAACACGATTAAATAACGCGGTTGTGGCTGAAGCGCTAAGTCATAAGCTGGCCCCTTGTTCCATCACTACATACTGTGACCACTCAGTAGTAAGTTATACGGAGCCGAGCATGTTTAGGGTAGCAATTGATCATTTTTACAGTAACTTACACCCCAGGATCTGTCCTGAGCTTCGGGAGGCCAAGGCAACAAGTTCGTCCAAGTTCACCACATGAGTGACGATCAAACGAAGCGACTTGTGGTTTCGCAATACCAGGCAGCATGGAATGATTACTACGCTTGGGAGCCGGATTACTCCGCTAAGAAACTCGCTTCACTGCGAGCCACAGATCGCAACTTGGCTGCTAGCTCCTCACGAATCACGCAACTAGACCCTCTCCTCGACGCTCTCGAACACTCGGAACCGAGGCCTACCGCCTCGAAGGACGTATCTTCCCAATCAATGTGCTTCGTCGACACGATGGGCCGCATTCACCCTAAATATCTCCACGTGGAAGAGATCCGAATCCCAGACTGCGACGTACCGCGTCCGTACCCGCCGTATGAGTCATGCACCCCTATCTCACGCAACCTCCTTCACGGTGACGATCCCATCTACATGGCCTTCCTTCCGCTTGCGGACGACTCCAAGTTCGATTCTACCAACTACGCCGACCTACACACGGGATTTGCATGGCAGGAGGAGTATGAGTACCGCGACTCGGATGGTGCGAGTCACCGATCTCCTACGTCTCAAGCTTGCGGTGTGCTGATTCGTCACGGTAGCGCTCGAAGTCATACTGGAGGCGTCACGAAGGCTGCATTTCGAGCATGGGGTCTCGTTGCAGCAGATCGACCAGACAAGCGTCCTCCCCTTACTCTACAAACTATATCGGGCGCGGGCGGCCTTGTCTCGATGGGTAAAATGAGGTGCGCCCTGATGGATGTGTAACCTACGTTGCGCTGGGCTGACGTTGCGATAGTGATACCGTACCGTGGCCGGGCTCTTCGAGGACGACTCACCCACCGCTTCCCGACCTTTCGCCGCCAGCCGCGGACAACCTCAAAGTGCGAGTGGCGAATTATCGCATGCTATGGTGTCGGGACTCCGGATGTCTCCAGGCTCATTGTATGACGCACGGTAAAGTCGATGATCAGGGTAGCGTGCGGTGCGGCTCGGCTCATCTATCTGGTAAGATTTCGACGACGCAAATCCGGACTTCGATTCTCCCGATGGTGCGAGCGTAGGATCGTTCAGACCGCTGCCCGTCGCTGAACCTTGCGGTGCGGAGTGCTGTCTCAATCACTCAGACACATCAGAGGTACTAAACCCGTGTGCATCGGTGATGTCTCGTATCATTGACAAAAATACTGCATTCAGGATGATGTGATATGGACCGAGGCCGATATCGACGATCTTCAATTGATATGTCGGATCGCACCGCCGACGCGTCCTTGCGATCTCGCGAAACTATGTGTCAAACCGTGCTATGAGGTGAATCACGGAGCAACCCTAATACAACGTCGTTCAAAAACTCAGTGCGTTTTAGGTCGCTTTTATCTCTCGGAGGTTCGACACTTCTCGCATTGAGGTGAAGACCAGAAGATCTCGGCGAAGTGAATAACTTCTCTTCGCTGTTTGGTTGAAATCAATTGACCGATAGCTGCGTAGATGATAGCTATCGGCCGCCGTGCGATCATTCAGGACCATGCTCAGTAGCGATGCACTGCCCGTGTGCGAGGAGCCAAGTAGAATGCTCAAAGCTCTGTGCCTGCCCTAAGACCTGTACGTTAAATCCCGTTCAAGTATTCATCTCACCTCTCTTGGCTCATCCCACGGCTCTAGGCACCAGGAAATGGCAGGGTTGCCAATGCACATCACACCAAATCAAGAGCCATAAGAAATCTGCGAAAGAGACGACTGTCCCCCCTTGCGCGGAAGACTGGTTGTGCCCATGCAGGAAGGCGAAGAGGGAATGTGACCCCGAAGTGTGCTGGCCTTGCGGTAAAGATTGTATGAACATGCAGCTGCAGAAGGGTCTGTCCAAGGTATCTGTGATCACTTCGATCATGCGGCATGCCTCTCGAACCTTGACATGACTTTTACACTCAGAGAGTCCAGGTGAAGCAGAGCAAGCATGGCATGGGTCTATATCTCTGTGAGGATGTCAAAAGTGGTGACTTCATGATGGGTGAGGTCTCATTGATGATTGTCTTGCTATCATACATTGTTCAGATCCTGACTGACCGTATATTCAGAGTATGTAGGAGAGCTCATTTATGACCCTACATTTGATTCTCGTGGGTCAGTATGATTCCACTGTTTTTTATTCTCATATGGTCCACCATTGCTCAACGCATCCTTCCTATAGCTTGATATCCGAGCATCTGCAGAGGAACTATGTCTTTGGGTTGTCTCAAGGGTCAGAGACATCTGTAGATAGCATGTTTGCAGGCAATCCCGCCAGATTCATCAACCATGCACCGCATAAAAAAGCTAATGTGACAGTGTCAAGTAAGTATCATAAGTGAATTGTGTTTGCCGGAAATTAGCACTGATACACGGCCACACACTGCTAGTTCCTTTGGTGAATGGGGAGCAAAGAATTGGCATATATGCAAGTAAGTAATTGTCGGTCCATACTGTGGGGATTGCACTTATGTTTCAATGCACAGAAAAAAATATAGCTAGAGGAAAGGAGCTGCTGATGAACTACGGGCCAGAATTCGGACTAGAAAGCAAAGGATAATACTGTTGTACTAGATCGGACTTCGATGCGATCGGATTCACTGACTAGTAGGCATGTCGCTGACTAAAAAGTAAAACATGCGGTTTCCCATTAGCCGATTCGAACGACTGACCTCGTCATGGCGAGATACTAGTGACGCGCTCTACCAACTGAGCTAAACGGGAATGAGAAATTGATAGTGGGAGCGCTTGTTCAGAATCCTTGTCTCTTGGTTGGCTCTTGTCTTGTAACTTCGCGACTATCTGCATTCAACTGCTAGTAACGGGATCTTGTCAAATCCTTTATCACACGAGCGAGTAAGTGAGCCCTGGATGAATGGGCTTGACGACGACGGACTGCTTATGAGACACAAAGTTCCTACAGGCTCCACTGGACAGACAGACATCAATCAACGCAACTCGCGGCTCCACTGGGTGTACTACCGTAATGGTCAACGAGCATCGTCCAACGCCGACAGATGGCTACGAAACGAGCACATCTTCTCTTCAGATCGAGACGGAGAACGTCATCAAGAAACACATCCCACCCGCCGGCACAGATCAGAGCGAACTGCAGAAGAAGTCGCACTTTGAGTTCCTGCTCCGAAACCTTCGACAAGGCTTTCCAGAGCGCTACACGTCCCAGGATGCCAGCCAACCCTGGCTGATCTATTGGACACTGCAAGCCTTCAGCGTCCTCGGTGTCGGGCTCGACGATCAGACGAAGAGACGGTGAGTGGCGCGGGGGGGGGCCGAGCGGTGGGAAAATGTTTTCATAACCGCTGACTTCGGACACACCTGCCATGCATGCAGGGCGGTAGAGACCCTGCTCGCGCTACAACACCCCGACGGCGGCTTCGGGGGCGGGCCAGGCCAGGCTGCACATCTATTACCGACGTACGCCTCGGTCTGCGCGTTCGCCATAGTGGGGAGACCCGGGGACGGCGGCGGGTGGGACGCCATAGATCGGTACGGCGAGGATCATCGCGCCAGCTCTGCGGAGAGTTCGCTCGCTCACACTTACACTTACACTTACACTTGCGCTCGCGCTCGCGCTCCGCTGTCCCCAGCAAGAAGCTCTATCAATTCTTCATGTCGCTGAAGCAGCCCGACGGCTCCTTCCTCGTCAGCCACCACGGCGAAGTCGACGTCAGGCCAGTTCACTCGCGCTCCTCCTCACGGTGGATAATTAACCTCATACGCGTACGGCCCATGTGCACACAGGGGCATCTACTGCCTCCTTGCAGTTGCCACCCTCCTCAACCTCCTCACGCCGGAGCTTCTTGCAGGCGTCCCAGCGTTCCTGGCCACCTGCCAAACATACGAAGGCGGCTTCGGCAACGCCTCCTTCCCAGGCTGGGCATTCGCCGCCGGTAGGTCCCTCCAGACGTTCTTCCTCAACGTACCATCAGCCTGAGTTGGAGTCCTTCATCGACGTAGACGACCCGGAGAGTGAACGTCAATCGAGTCAGTCATACGATCCCACGGCGCCCCGACCCCCTCTCGGCGAGGCGCACGGGGGATACACCTTCTGTGCCACCGCCTCCTGGGTGCTCCTACAGCCTTTCATTAAGCTCTCAGCGCCGACCGCCGAGCTTGCTCCCAAGATCAACACGCGCGCCTTGCTTCGATGGTGTGTGCAGATGCAAGGGCTCCCGATCGAACTCGGGGGCTTCCGCGGTCGGACCAACAAGCTCGTGGACGGCTGCTACAGCTGGTGGGTCGGCGGTTGTGTCGGCCTCGTGGAGACCGTGCTCGGGATGCACGAAGAACCTGCCACGGAGGAGAAAGAAGACAGTCAAGAAGAAGACGTGCACAAGACGTGGGACGACGCTGACGGTGAGCTGCGGCTAGTCGTATTGCCTCTGTCGCGCGCACAGAGAGCTCACACCCTGTTTCGCGACCTGTTAACCTTTACGACGTGGTCGTGCTTGTTTGATGTCGATGTCTCACTTTCACTGACAAGACTCCCTCTTCGATCGGCGAGCTCTACAGGAGTACATTCTCTGTGCCGGCCAACATCCCGCCGGCGGTCTTCGAGACAAACCGCCGAAGTGAGTTGGTTCCCTTCCAGCGCCCTCGCCCCCGTCCCCGTCCCCGTTCCCCGTCCTGTATTTTCTGCATCTGATAAATTCTAATCCGGATACCACAGGCCCGCAGACGCTTACCACACACTGTACTGTGTCGCCGGCCTTTCCGCCGCGCAGCATCGTGTCATCCCCTCCGCCGCGCGCGAGAAGAGTGTCGCGTCCGCCTGGAACGCAGCCCAAGCTCATGCCAAAGACGGTATGTGCTGTCTGTCTGTCTGCCTCTCTGTGCAGCCCAGCCGCTTCGGGCCCATTCCCAGTCTGCGATGTGTGGCTGACAAAGTGCGCGGGTGTGTGTAGATACGGGCTATGTCGCACCGTCGGACGCGGAGCGTGAGGGGCTGGACGAGTTGCGCAGACGGACGTTCGCACACGTCCTGTCGTGGTCCGAGGAAGAGGGCACGGCGTCGTATGTCGGCGGCGCGGCCAATCGCGTGGTGAGTAGAACATGGCTCCCAACATTGTTGTCGGGGCGGAGTACAGGCCCCTGGAACGTCGCACTGACCCTTTTTTCTCATTGATTCTTCCGTTTGTCGTTCTAGAACGCCACGCACCCGCTCTTCAATCTAACGATGACGCACTCGGATGGGATCCTCGCGCATTTCTACGGTCAGACCGTCCCCTCGCGCTATAATGCGGCCGCGAAGAAATGAAGAGAAGTCAAGAAAGAATGCGCAAAGTGCAATCAGAGGATGAGGGTGTATTTCTTGAGGTTTTGTACTGACGCCACGCTTGACCGTGTTCGTCACTGATTCAGGGATGTATGCTTGATCTTAGGCAATGGTCACAAGTTTGCCAATGGAAGCAGCTCATGATTGTATACATAACAGACACAATATACATTTGAGACGTTCTCTATGGACCGTTCGGACGCATGCAATAAATCAGAGGCAGGACGTCAAGCTTGCATAAGTTCTCAACTCTGTCCCTACTACCATTTAGTACTCACGCTCTACGTGACCTGCATGCCCCGTTAGGCTCTCCCGGCCCACAATTCGGGAGCACGCCAGTGCCGTCACAGCTTCAGCTTCTGGAGGAACCTTCCGGCGCCGGCCTCAACGTTACAACTCTCTGTTTGACGTGTATCAGGACTGCGAAGGGACGGCTGTCGCCTGCCACTGGCGACGTGTGTACGGGTTGACAACGAGGCGCGCTGCTTTCACGCCGGGTGTTCCTTCGGACGGTGCAAAGACTCATAACGCGTACGGGCCGCCGGAGCGCTGTCGGTCAGCATGAACGACCACAAACTCCGCGAGAGTTCGTCTCAATACTTCATCGGCTCCGCCAGAGATCACCTGTATGAGTGAGGCTGCATGCGCAGCAAGTCACCTAGGCCGTGAACGAGCGATTTGTAAACCGGCGTGGACATGACGACTCCTCTCAAATGCGGGTGCAGACTGTCTGAACATATCGATCATGATACTACCCAACGATGTTATACTCGGTGACCGGAAGAGGAAGATATACGGCAGACACATGATACGTTCGGAAGACCCTATGGAGGCGCGTTCGATATCATGGCAGGCAGCTTGTCTGGCGGGTATGTCGAGCCACCTGTCACGACTTACGGCAGAAATAATCTCTGCCGGGAGACTCAGACAACGCAGCGGGGCGTCCCTGATGTGTACCCCTGCGCAGTGGCAGAGCCAAGCTCATGAGCACTGGCCACGATGAGCTCGAAACGAAAGTCGGCGGCGGCGGGAGCGAGCAGCGGCACTCACGTAAGGCATGACGAACTGCACCCGGACCCCACCCCACCTCACGGCGTCATCCCCCTGCCCGTCCTCCCGCGCAGATCCCGCACCTCGCGCTCCAGCTCGCCCAGCCTCCGCCCATCCTCGCGCCTCTCCCGCTCGAGCACGCGCACCTGCCTCTCGAGCGCCTCGAAGCGCGCCCTCTCCTCCAGCCGCGCCTTGGTCGTGATCGGCAGCAGCTTGCCCACCTCGGTCCACCGCACCCAGCACGCGGCCATCTCCGCGCGCACGCCCACGGGGATGCGCGCGTGCTCCAGCGCGATGTCGAACGCGTCCGGCCATCGCAGCCCGCAGTGCACGGCGCACCCGAGCGGCAGCAGCTCGCTCAGGAACAGCGTGGCGCTTTCTGGCTGAGAGACGGCGGAGAGCCCGACGGCGAGCGTCTCGAGGCGCTGGAAGCGAGGGACGTCTTGAGAAAGCGGGTGCGGGTGCGGGTGCGGGTGCGGGGGAGAGCGGGCGTCGATGTGGAGGCCGAGGTGGCGCATGTTGACGCAGTGTCGCGCGAACGGGATCAGCGCGCGCAGCGTCAAGTGCGTCACGTTCGCCTCGGGGACCGGCTCGGGGTTCAGCTGCAGGCTTTCCAGTCCCGGCCACTTGCTCGCCAGCTCCTCCATGTCGCCGTCGCCCAGGTTCAGCGCGTAGTCCCATCGGAGCTCGAAACGGCGCAGGCACCGTGCGGAGAACAGCGGCCGGAACGTGGCTATCGTCGGACGGTCCTGCATGCGCGGCGGGGGCGAGAGCGGCGAGTCGGGTGCGATGATGTAGTCGACGGAGAGCTCGACGAGCGACGTGCAGTGGTCGCGCACTGCCGCGAACAGGTCTCGCAGTGCGAACGACGTCGCGGTGACAATGCTCTTGAAGTGGAGCTCCGTGAGCTGTGCGGGGAAGAGCGAACTGCGCAGGAAGTGGGTGCCGTCGGCGACCTGTGCGCTGAACGACAGGTTTCGCAGGGCGGGGAATGCATCGTCATCGATGACCGGGACAAAGCTGGCGACGTCAGCGCGGTTCCCGGGCTCCGCGCGCGCTGGATGAATGAGGTTCACCGTTACTATTCGCTCCAGGCGCGACAATGCGGTAAGGAGTCGAGGGGTCAGGCCGTATATTGGGACCGAGATTTGCTGGAGGTGGAGGAGGCCCTGGAGGAGGATGAGCACGGCGTCCTCCAAGTTGCCCATAGACTGTTCGAGGCAGAGGTCGAGCGTAGTGATGTGGGTCGCACGTGCGCATATTCCACGCAGGTAGTCTGGAAGAGGAGGCGAGTCGGATCGATACAAATGTAGACCAAGGTGTTTTACGCGCCGATGGAGGAACGCCAGGCAGAGCTGTTGGCGCTCGGGCGCACAGG